CTGATAATTGTGAGTGTGCAGGGGGATATCCGGAGCTTCTGACTTCTCACGCTTTTCTGAACCACATTCTGAGAGTGGGTAACAGAACCATGATGCCTCTCCTCGTGTTACTACTGATATCTGAGATAAGCAGGGTCACACGGAAGGAAAACAGATCATTTCCAAGCAAAGAGGAAGGATGGCATTATATATGAAGTCAATGTACTGAAAATAACCCAGAGTACATGGCATAGCTACCCCTATTCTGCTGGAGGGCACAGAGAAAAACACCAAATAGGAAGATGCCTGTGTTCCAGAGCCGCTGTTAAGAACGTGGCGACCATAGCAATGGGAGAAACTAAGCGGAATGTGATTGGTTTCATGAGGGAATTGTGGACTGTTATGAAACTAGAAGCCTGGGACAGTCCACGGCATATCCAACTACTCTGTCTCCTACGCATCTCCCACCTACTCTCCACCCCGAGAAACTCACTCAAGCTCAGGAAGGCTGTACCACCTGAGGGCCTAGGAAAGGAACATGCTTTACGTCAACAGAACCAGCATGCTGCTCCCGAAACAAACGAAAAACCCACCAAATGAACACTGTAAATCATGGTACAAAGTACTATATTGTTAAAAGATCAAATTGTGGGTGGGATTGAACCCAGAACTTTCACAGTGAGCTACCTCCTAGCCTTTGTCATTTTTTAAAAACATTTTTAAATTTTGAGACAAGGTCTCACTAAATCCCTAAATGACTAAAATCAGGCTTGAAATTGCAGTCCTCCTGCCTCAGCCTCCCATGCCCAAGCCCAGTTTTAAAATGTTATTTTGAAAGTAGTTAAACCTTTGCAGGATAAATTTCAAAACATCACAATGGAATTCAGCTGCTCTAGTTCTATAAACACAAATGTATGCTTTGATAAATTTTTCCACATTAAATAAATAACCTTGAGTAAGTGAGCTCCACTCATTTTTTTTGTTTTGTTTTCTTTGGTTGACTATATCTCATTTTCTCAGCCAAAGAGAATTAATTTATAGCAGATACCCTTGGTACGGGGTAGTTCCATCTTGCTGTGTGCATGGATGTCAGAAGTTCTAGATTTCACACCTGTGGGGGTCACCTCAGTTTGATTCTGAAGATTTCTTTGAAAGGTGTGTATGGATAAAATGTTATAAATTTAAAAATTCCATGTGTACAGGGG